TAATGCATAAAGCGAAAGATAAAAAGTTTTAAGAAAAGTCTAAAAAATACCATCAACTTATAGCATCAACTTTAATCTTACCATCGGTTTATAGCAGTAAATAACAGCTTCAATAGACATTTCAAAAAATAGACATAGTGTAACCAGAATTAAATACCACGAAATTAGACGTCTATTTTCGCGAATTCCACCAACAATACCCAAAAATCCCAACAGTACTGTTGTCAAACCGATTAATAAAGCAATAAATGAAGACCATTTTGCCTAAACATTTTTTGCTTTTTAAAAACCTTTTCTGCACAAACTTTCAGCTATCAGACAAAAGTTGAATTTCACCGAATCTCATTAACATCAATTACCCAGGTACGAATTTTTGCTTTGGTTTCATCCATATCGATGTTGTTGTTGTATTCGACCAACAAATTACTCCTTAGATCAATTTCAACTTTCTTATCAAACCATAACCATAGCGTAAGACCAATAACTGTTAAGCCAAGTGTCTAAGAAAATGCATTGTTATGACACTAAAAAATAATAACAACAATAACAAAATACCTTTTATGAACAAATAACATAGAAAAAGTTCAGAAGTAGAATTTTTTTTAAATGTATTGTTCAGAAGCAACATTACTGCTTTTACAGATTACTATTTTAAACTAATAAGTAAATAATTTCTAAAAATTACATGTCTAAAAATAATAGTGTGTAAAATTTCCCCTCTATCTGTTTGAAGGAAAAAAAAAATCTTGAATAAAAAACGTCAAATTTTTTGACCAGAATACTACAGGACACTGTTTGAGTACAAAATTTGTCGTCAATTGTCATCATTTCTTTGAAAAAAAAATAAAAAAACACTGAGCTTTTAAAATTACAGACGAAGTATTTAATCAAATTGTTGAAAATGTTTTTTTTAATAATTACTTTCCTCCTTCAATTTGAATAATTTTACAAATTGCCGATGAAACTATAGACAAATTTTTATATTCTTTGTTGCTGTTCCTCAAAAGACTGTTGCATCTTCCACTTTTTGCTTGAGATAATAAAATTTAGAAAAAAGACCGGTAACTAATTAAAAATCAAAAAAAAAAAAATAAATAAATAAATTTAGAAAAAAAAAAGGTAAAAATTTTTTTAAAAGTTTTTTCAGTTTCTTTTTTTAATTTTTTAGTTTTTTTTTTGTTGCTTTAGCGAAATTTTTTGTTAATTTCACAAGTGATAAAAAATGTTTTTTTTCTTTTCAAAAGAAAGAAGCAAAGAATTGAATATATTCAGTTCTTTTGCCATTGATTCATTGAACAAAAAATTCTAGTCTTATTTTAGTCATTTTTTTTCTATTCTGCTTTCTTATCAAATAATCATTACCAGAATGGTAACATTTAACAACGACAGTACCAGACGATAGCAATATGAGCATCGTTTCTCATCTAACAGCTTCTTCATCATGGTTTCTGGGTTTTTTTTTTCTTTTCTTTGTCCTAAACAAACAACAAAATCATTTGGAAAAGCAAACTGTTTAATCGGTGTAAAAATTTCTGCTTTTCAGAACAGTTACTGCAACAAAAAAACAACAATAATAGCAATACTTATTGAAATTGGAATATTTTTGTTAAAAACTCGTATTATTTAGATTAGTAAAGAATTACAACTTATAAGTTCCATGTTTCAAATGCATAGCAGTTTTATTTAAAGGTCCTGATTGTCGACAACTAAAGTTTTGTACAATTGTAGAACAACTTGCATTTAAGCACAAATCATATCAAATTATATTTCCCTTCAACATTACTATATCAAACTAAATAAGACTTGAAAAATTAATTTAGTACAACATTCATAACCAGCCTTCAGAGTCTTCTTCAACAATTGTATAAATGTATAGGCTTACAGAAATCGTTCAACGGTAAACACTGGTAATCGTTTTTTGGAAAAAAAAACTTTGTGATTTTTAACAAAAAAAACAAAAACGAGTAGCAGTAATCAAAAGAATTTAAAGTTTCTTTGCTATAACAAAAAATTTACTGTCTTAAATGTAAAGCACAAAAGAAGTTCTGCTAAACGGCATCAAAATACAAGAAATTTATATTTGTGAATAAATTTGTGAACATTTTGACTTTAAATTAATGTCATTGACAACTGTAAAAATAGACTAAAATGACCGATAAAGCAATGCAAAAATTTATGTATCCAACATATCAGCAAACAGCTGTTTAGCACAGTCCTCTATTTCATCGACCATTACAGATGACCAATTAGTTCAACAGCAAATTTTTTCACTTCTTTTCTACATTTCTGTGGTGCAACAGAAAAAAAAAAAGGTTAGTTAAAAATCTTTTGTTTAATAACTTTTTTTTAGATACACTTTTTTCAATTTTCTAAAAGCTAAAAAAAAGTTGGTAGAATTATCGGAGATAGCATTTATACGCAAAAAGAAACTTGTTTTGTAGATAAAATCCAAAATTATTCTGGTTTTTACTGTTATCTTACTTTTTTTTTTTTGATAGAAACTTTAAACATCCTATACCTGTAACGTGCATGTGGTCAGCGTTAATCGGCTAAAAGTAAAGGCTGATTACCGTAATACACAGAAGAACAAAAGTCGACACTATTGACACTTGTCAAAAGAGTACAAAATGTTAGCCGGTAATCAGTGAAAATCTTAGCTAATTAACGATCAGTAAATCAGCAGATAAGTTCTGCTTTTACAGCTGTTTTATCACAACCATAAAACAGCTGATTGTTACCAACCATAAATATAGGTTATCCAACTTTGGATATAATTTTTTTTCTTTTTTGCTCTTGTTTTTTTGTTGTCCTCAAGATTATCATTCTACACAGAGCTATTGTAAAGTTTTTGAAGAAATACACAGGAAACAAACATGGCTATCAAGTTTTGTCTTTATTATATACGTTAAATATACACACACAATACAGGAAATAGAAAAAAACAAAAAAAAAAAA